ATAACATTTTATTTAACCCAATATATCTAAACTATTATTTCAACATATAATCAATATAAGAATTTTTTGAGATATTGTACATTCCTTTTTTCATGCTAAGTCTTTGACATCCACTGCGTATTTAACCTTATAGCCCATCTCATTTGGGACTAGCCACATGTGACTAGTGGCTCCTGTTCTGGACAGTACAAATCTAAACCAACCATCACTCTTATAATGAAGAAACTGAGGCTCAGAAAAGCCCAACACAAATATTTACAGAATGTCCTGGACTCCTATTTTAGGGTGTCTTTCTCTATACCACGCTATCAAGATTCTATCTGTGGCAAAGAACTTGAGAAACCAGTTTGTCAAAATGGCAGGACCAAATGCAGTGACCTTAGACAGCAAAGAGAATGTCTGAAGGAGAATGAGCTAAGAGGTACTAGATAGGTCCTCTGATGGGCATTTAAAGGCTCCGATGGACCATGAGGCAGGCCTTTCCCAGGAGCAGAAGGTGAGGGAGAGTTTATGAAAGTTGGCAACTAGAGAAAAAACCAAATCAAGCCAAGGACTCCATCTTCTGTTCAACCACCCAGGCAGCTGAACTCTCTATCAAGTTTCTGCCTCCCCAACGCAGTCTGGAAGTAGTTCGGGCTGTAGGACCCCAGCTGATTGGAATTGGAAAGCACAGTGCAGTAAGTAGGGTGCGGGGACTGAAAAGACATCGACTCCACAGAGATGGGTGGAATGGTGATACCTACACGCAGGAAAGTGTGTGAGGTGGGCCTCTTGGCAGGTGTGGCATGTGGTTCTGGGAAAACAGAGGGGAGAGTTTACAGAGGGGAAACTAAGAAGTGGAGGGGAAAGATTACCTCCAGTCTCTGATTTCCCACCTCAGGCTGCAGAGCTCTATCTGAACCTGGACCTGGTCAAGGAAGCCATCGATGCTTTCATTGAGGGGGAGGAGTGGAACAAGGCCAAGCGTGTGGCCAAGGAGTTAGATCCCCGGTAAGCGTACACCCACTTCTCACTGGGAAATTCTCTTTGATTTCCTTTTGTAAAGACTGGGAGAGAGTTCTCATGGGAAGGGTGTGCATCCCGGGACCATCAAGTGTGAGATTTCTACACATCTTCACAGGTATGAAGACTATGTGGACCAGCACTATAAAGAGTTCCTCAAGAACCAGGGCAAAGTGGACTCGGTGAGACTTGGGGAGTTAGCAGGGGGCAGAACACATGGGGAGGCTCAAGAGATTCTCTCCTTCTGCCCCACATGTCACCTCTTTCCTTGCATAACTCTGTCTTTTTAATTGACCCATAGCTGGTGGGTGTGGATGTGGTGGCTGCTTTGGACCTGTATGTGGAGCAGGGCCAGTGGGACAAGTGCCTTGAAACGGCTACCAAGCAGGTAATGCCCTCTTCCTCCCATGCCCAGCCCCTCCTGTACATGTTCTCTTGCCCCAGAGCTGTATCTCTCCAAAGCCCAAACCCCAAAGATACCTAATCAATATCAGAGCGCTCAGTCTTCCTCACTCTGAAGTTGGGGTCAGAGGCCAAGCTGGGCCTGGGTTGCATAGACCTTTTGCCTCCTGAACAAATCCACAGCCTCAAGTCACCACCCCACCCTCACTGCCCGGTCTTACTGATCCCATCCTCCCCAATATTTTTCCTCCACCCTCCGGACAGAACTACAAGATTCTGCACAAGTATGTGGCTTTGTATGCGACTCATCTGATCCGAGAGGGTGGCTATGCCCAGGCACTGGCCCTGTATGTGCAACACGGAGCCCCTGCTAACCCACAGGTACCAGCTTGCACCTGGGGATGAATGTATCCTCAAGGAGATTGTTTCCTTCTCCTCAAGAACCACCTACCCCCTCAAAAACTGTCTTAAAGGAGTCTTTGATCAACATCATGCCCAGAGACCCAGGCTACTCTCTTCTGAAGTATATAGCCTCTCTGGAGGATTTAGCCATTGGAACACACCAGCTACCTCCCAAGCTCTTAGCTGGCACACAGAGAACAGTCTTTCAGAGATAAATCCCGCACACACCTCTAGGGCCTCATTGACTTCCTCTAGTGAATGGACTCTGCTCTCCTATCTGAGCATCACAGCTCTTTGGAATATTAGCCCATTCACACTGTGACTGTGTATTCGCGTTCACACATTTGTCCACAGTCACAGCACCAGTTAGTAAAAAATTTCCTTCCTCTTTTTCTCTCTTCCCTAAAAAATAATCAACATTCTTTTCCATCACTGGCCCCTAGCTCCTCTACACACACACATTTACAGCCTGTTCTACTCTCTTTGACCCCACTTCCACCGACCTTCTCACTCAGCTCCTTTTCCCCCCTCTACCTTCAGAACTTCAACATCTACAAAAGGATCTTCACTGACATGGTGAGCTCACCTGGGACCAACAGTGCTGAGGCCTATCACACCTGGGCTGACCTTCGGGATGTCCTCTTCAACCTGGTGAGGAAGTCGGGTCGACAACAGTGATAAGGCTACTCCCTGTCCTTGTCTCTTCTTTCATGCATATATATCTTATTATACCTTCCTCTGTCCAGGTGGCCATGAGTTGACCACTCTGTGGCCTTGGTACTCCTCTGACCCAGGCTGTGCTCTCTTCCTACTCTAGTGTGAAAACCTGGTGAAGTCCAGTGAGGCAAACTCTCCAGCCCATGAAGAATTTGAGACGATGCTGCTGATCGCTCATTACTATGCTACTCGCTCTGCAGCCCAGAGTGTCAAACAGTTGGTGAGATGGAGGGGGGAGGAGCACCTGAGTCTTAAGGACACCATCTGCAAATGTATGATGTCAAATGAATTAAAGTTCTGGATTCTCAAGCTTGGCCCACTTTTCTCTTAACTTCTCTCTGTTTAGATAAATCTTTAAGCCTTGCTGAGATGGCTTTCTTCCCATACTCCTTTGATCTCCTTAGGGCTCTGTGCCCTCATAGCTCCAGCCTCGTTATGCTTAAACATTCAAATCCCATTTGTTTTGACCTCTTATACACATACCTTTGGCTTATTCATGATAGTAATTGTTCATTTCATGTACTTGGATGATAAAATTCTAGAGTTGGAAGGAAATTTAGAAATAACCTATGCCCAGCTCTACTGTGCAGGTGGAAAAACTAAGACCCTAAACTGCTTGAGATCCAGAGCAGTTTAATATTGATTATTGGTTTTCTGGTTCTGTGGCTGCCTTAGTTATAAGGTAATTGGTGTGGTGGCTCAGTCACTGTAGTGCCAGGATCATAATGCTTTGACTTTAATCCATAGGAAACTGTGGCTGCCAGGCTTTCTGTTTCGCTCTTGCGTCACACCCAGCTGCTACCTGCAGACAAGGCCTTCTATGAAGCAGGCACTGCTGCCAAGGTGAGCTGAGATGAGGAAGGGTGGGGTTGAGGAGGTAAGGAAATCAAAAATTGGAAGGTATAATGTCTCATCTGCTCAGGTAGAGCAAATCTGAGTGTGGGGCTGATGTTAAGGAGAATATCGTTTTCCTGTATCTTCCTGATTCTTCCCCCTGCCTGCATTCTGGAGAAGCAGCATCCAAGCCCGGCTGCTCACTCCCACTTGCAACTTTTTTGTAGGCAGTCGGCTGGGAGAACATGGCATTCATCTTCCTCAACCGCTTTTTGGATCTGACTGATGTGAGTATGGAACTAGTGCCCAGAGCTTGGGAGGTTTTGCCTGTCACAAGCCGTTCCTACCCCATGGCTGCCCACTCTGCTGCAGGCAATCGAAGAGGGGACTCTGGATGCCCTTGACCACTCTGACTTTCAGGATACAGACATTCCCTTTGAGGTGCCACTCCCAGCCAAGCAACATGTACCGGTAAGGGAACAGGATTGGAGAACAGGAGGCCTCACCAGTGTTGAGTGCACTGAGAAGGGAGGCACTTTAGGTTGGTCCTCCCCACCCTTTGTACCAGGCATCGGTCAGCAACACCCTTAGAAGGGCCTCTGCCTCATCACTGCTCTTTCAGGAAAAGCAGAAGCAGAGGAAACAGCTGAAGCCGTGACTGTGACCCTCAATCCAAGGAGCATCATTTATGGTTGAAAGGATAGCTCAGAGACCGTCCCCCGCCACACACACTCACCACCCTCAATTTGCCCTGCATGGCCCTGCGTAAAGCCACTGTTTCCTCTATTCTTCCCAGGAGGCCCAGAGAGAAGAGGTTCGAGACTGGGTGCTCACGGTCTCTATGGACCAGCGGCTGGAGCAAGTTCTGCCTCGAGATGAGCGCGGTGCCTATGAGGCTTCCCTGGTGGCGGCAAGCACTGGAGTCCGGGCACTGCCCTGCCTCATTACAGGTACAGAACCCTACAGCACCCTACATTCTGTGGTGGGTAGAAAGGAGAGAAAAGCAGCAGGATCAAGAAACTTTTACTGTGATTCAGTAAAGGACAAAGAGGATAAGAACATCCTACTTTCTACCCCTTAATTAGTTTTCCCCCTCAATCCCTCTCAAACCTCAGTTCATTTTCTTTTCTTCCCCCACAGGATATCCCATTCTGAGGAACAAAATTGAATTTAAGCGGCCAGGGAAGGCAGCTAACAAGGACAACTGGAATAAGTTCCTTATGGCTATCAAGGTTAGAGAGGGAGACTTGAAGGATGGGGCAGGGAGAGCAGCACTGAAGAAACAATCCCACTGGAAGGGTGGGATTGTCAAGAAGGTCCTGAG